GAATTTCTTTGGTTAGGGTTGGAATAACTCAAGACCCCAAGGTGCTGGTTTCTCATTTTCCTCTTAATCTTTTAGGGGGAGGGGCGGTGAAGAAGGCTTTGCAAAGGATTTCCATAAAGAAACCTGTTCATTATCAGGTATAAGCCCATACATCTTTTGTTTCTGTTCGGAAGAATTAGCACAACGGATCATGAGGAAAACCTGTCTGTTATCGGGTATAGCCCATACAGATCACTTACGTTTTTGTCCTTACTATGTGAATTTTGCATTCAATTTTAATTGAATCTCTTTTATTTGATCGGCTTAATTTCATGAAGAAAAATCTTAGCCAAAGATATTAGATAACTTCTGGAAATGTCTTCATCTGAACTTTCATCATTCAATTTAAAAAATAATTCTTTCACCTAGAACATTTTTCTCTCTAATTTCAGTGTATTTCCTTTATTTTGTAATGTAGTATATTGTTTATCTATAAGCCGCAGACGAACAATCACTGGTCAATTCAAGGCCAATAGATGGCAGAGACGATTTAATTTTCAAGCTATAGACTGCAACAAAAAGAAAGAAAAGGTGTGTATCAAACAATTCTCTTTGCAGTGTATTCTAGGATGTTGCACATCAATCTTTGAGTCTCCTTAATTTTGTAAATTCACTTGCACAGTGAAGATGTTCTGTTTTTGGATTTTAATAAGCACTTGATTGTTAATTATGTTTAGGTGCCTTGGCTTACAAAAATTCACTCAATACTCTTACTTTTCAATCAATTTCAAATGTGGTGGGCTGAGAGTGGAGATTTTAAATTTTAATTATTTTGGCTTGTGAATCTCCTTGTTGGCCTTCAAATTTACTCTAGTCCATGTTATGGGTAAATAGGCATGACTGAGGGACACGGTTTATCGAAGAAGTTAAGACACAAGGACAGGTTCATGTAAATATATAAATATCTATGCTTACACTAATACGCCTTTATAAATGCTGAGGATTGAATTTGAATTTCAAGAAATAATAATTTGTCACAAGTTAAAGTATTGGTGTTTAGCTCTTAAAACATTTGTTCTTATAACCCGGCTATATGTTAATAACTGGCCCATAAAGGGTTCTACACTTAGAACCTAAATCTACACAGGTCATCAAATGTCTATTCCTAGTCACTGACAGCCATGACCACAGATCTTGATCTTCTCAGTTGCTCTTTTTCCCTCTTATTAGGGATCGCCAGCTGCACAAGAGGAAAAAGCAGACATGGCCTCACTTGGAAAGCCCTTCTTTGAGCATCGCATATCACAGGGTGCTTCCTTGATTCTTCTAATCTCTGCTAGATTACTACTTTAATCTAAACTGATGCCATGCCACAAAATGTTTGAGAAGTTGTACAAGGAAAATACTGAGCCACCCATCATGAGATGGACCTCCTTTTCTCCCTCCTGACCTCTTCTTTTCTTACTTCATAGATGTGTTGACACACTTCCTTTTCTCCCCAATTCTCAATTTTCCGCTGAACCGAGATTTTAACAATGATTTCAAATTAGGTACGACAGCAATGACATAAAATCTCTCTGCTCTGTTTTATTTTTCTTTTCAACAAAGCAAAAAGAGGGTGGTTTCCTCAAGCCTGTCTTAACTGTCCACTCTTATAATCTTCCCTTCTTTTCCTTTCAATCTCCCAAATAGCCCTCCTTTCCCCTTTGAACTTCCCAAACCATGCTAGCCTATTAATAGCCTTAACAGGAAATTAATGATGGTAACTTTGGCATCCAAGTTGAACTTGGCCCAAATATTTTTACATTTAGAATGTAGCATGTAGCTGTTTATACCCCAAGTCAGATTTAATATTATCTTGTTGGCCTGAACTTTTCGAGCAGGCCTTGATACTTCATCTGGGTACGTAATTGTTGACCCAACCATTTTCCATCTTAGTTATTACAATGAGGACAATGCATGCATGATATCATACGGAGAGGACATGGGACTCTGACTTTTTAACATTTCACAAAATATTGACAATGCGAAAATCTAAATCCACCGTCATGGCCACAACTTCTTCATAGACAGTTTGATGATGAAAACATTGCAGCCACTTGTTGTGACCATTAGATGTGAACATGGCGAATAATCATGACTTTCCAATGAATAAAAGGCATATTTGGTCTCCTGATCTTAGCTGCAACAAATAATCATCACGTAATTGTAAGCGGCTTGAGAGGTTGCGTGGGCCGGCTCTCATCATCCTGGAAGACTAATCTTATAGGAGCAGATTCTAGATTAGCCCCAAGCTTTCTATATTTGATTGATTCAGGCTGTAACCAAAGCCAAAAATAATAAAGAGCAATAGCTTAACATGGGGGTTTATATCCTTTAACCACTTACTACAGCTACTTAAAAAATGAAAAAGAAAATCAAGCTGTGAATCCTTAATGTTTGTACAAGTGCAAGTGCCTCTTTTTGTTGCAATCGAAACAAAATAAAAAGGGTTTTTCAGGAGTTAAGATTCATCATCCCTCATTTCTATGTTGAGGAGTTTGGTCAAAAAAAGTTTGCTCTATTGTGGCCCACGACCACTAAAAGATCTCTGATCACGCCTTTGCATTATCTACCAGCTCCCTATAGCTAGCTCTATAAATATATTGTGGTCGTGGTATGTTAAGGCACAAATAGGAGCAAGCTTACACAACGCAATGAAGACTGCATTATTCCTAGCACTTTCTTTCCTTCTCTGGGGCTCAACAATAGCCACTGACGAACTTGATCCGGTGCTTGACATCTCAGGTGAAGAGCTCCGAACAGGCACTGATTACTACATCTTGCCGGTCATCCGCGGTAGAGGTGGTGGCCTCACTCTTGCTAGCACTGGCGACGAGACCTGCCCGCTTGATGTTGTTCAAGAGCAGCTCGAGGTCTCCAACGGTCTCCCGTTAACATTTTCACCTGTGAACATAACAAAAGGCGTCGTACGTGTATCCACGGATCTCAATATCAAGTTCTCTGCTGCTACAATTTGTGTCCAATCCACTGTCTGGAAGCTTGACAACGATGAAGCAACTCAAAAACTGGTTGTGACAACAGGTGGAGTTGAAGGTAATCCTGGTATCGAAACTCTCAGCAACTGGTTTAAAATCGAAAGATATGAAGATGACTACAAGCTTGTTTTCTGTCCGGGGGTGTGCGATTTCTGCAGACCTGTATGCGGGGACTTGGGTGTTTTTATTGATGCTGGTATCAGGCGTCTAGCTCTTAGTGATGTGCCCTTGAAAGTCATGTTTAAGAGAGCTTGAAGCTGTTTTATTTTCCTTGTTTTACCCCACACCAGTCTCACTTTTCAATATTAAATATGTATACTACGGCCATGAGATCGCAATAATGTAAAGCTTGGGAAGATTATAATAACATGAATATATGATGATATCACGTACTACTCCTTAGTGTTTATATCCAATGCTTTTCTTTTGATTGTCCTATAGATGTTGGGTAATATAATTGACCCTAAACTAGAACGAATTACACCAGCATTGCATGGTCAATGACATCTAATAAACAAATTATAGGTACCCTATCTTCATTTACATCCAGAAATTGATCGAGGAAGCTTGTACACTTCGGGAATTGATAATCTTCTTCATGTACAAAAGTTTCAAACTATAAAGCAAATTTTGAAGGGAAAAGAAATGGCTAAATCGAAACAGTATAATCTTCTTCACGTCCAAAAGTGCTCCCATTGTTGCTGCTGCTCATGACCTGTCTTAGTCCGTACATATGTTTCTTCCATAATCATAAACTCTAATTATCAATAGATAATGATTTTCAAATGGCAATGACACCAAACCCACTCTTCTAATTTATATATACTATCCTCATTAATTCCCTATGAATTGAAAAAAAGTGTTGATTATTAAGAGTGTGCAAACAGTCGGTTTAATATTAAAATTTCAAATATCGATATAACAAATCAAATTAAACTAATACACTTAATCAAATTGATCAAAAACTAATCTACTTCTAGTCATCTAATCAATTTTAAAAAACTTAAAAAAATTTATAGTATTTTATCAAATTTTAAGATAAGACATATATAAAATATAAATTTTAAGATAAAATACTTTCACTTCTCTAAGTTTTAATTAAAATTTCAAATAGATTCATTAATTTTCGAAACGGATACTTTGCTTCAAAAAATATCTTTTGTTGGAAACATAACTCTACCCATTAGTCAACTATTAATGTTTCCAAGTGTCATGATAACATTAAGAGGATAATTTTATATTTTATTAATTTTAAAAATTACTATCATTTAATTTTTATTAATTTTTTGGTTAATTAAAAATAGTTAATTTAAAAATAAAAACTTGCTCCCCTCTCTTGGGGAGTTGAGAGCCCCGATTTGTGCTCCCCATTTTTTTTTCAAAAAGAAATTATATGATAATAATTTTTAAATTAATAAAGAAAAAAAGTATTTTAGTCTTATTAATATTATCTGTTAATGATATTTACACATTTAAGATAAAGTATTGATTTCAAAAATTAAAAATCTACTCAAAATTTTAATTAAAAATTAAAAAATGAGGATATTTTACCTTAAATTTTAACATACTCAAGAAAATTAAAAAATTACTAACAACTCAAAGTTATTATTAAATAAAGTCAAAAATACTTTTTATATATAATTTTTAATAATTAACAGTTTCGATTAATTCGGTATGTTCTGTTGAAAATTTTCTCAACGGAAAACTAAACTAAACACCCCAAACTAACCGACCACCCAAAGCCATTTTAACTGAATAAAAAAACTAAACTTACATTTTTTCAGTTTGAAATAATTTTGCTCACCCCTTTTGATTATTACTATGCCCTCTTCATGTCCGCCCTTATAATCTTCCCTATTCCTGCCCAAATCCAAAATCCATAATTTGCCTATAAGCCTTAGTCATTGATGTTGATCTTTCACAAATACTTAAATTAACCATCATTAATAAATTAATAGCAACCAAGTCCAAAAAAAATTAATTAAAAAAATCAAATTCGGACATTAATCAAAAGAAAATAAAAAGACTGCATTAGATCATATTAGCATGCGGTAAGCACGTCAAACCTGCCTTGGGAATCTGGGTATTACAATCATCAATGATGTCATACTGATAGGACAACTGGATAAGAGATTTTGACTTTTGACACTGCATAAGATATATTGAGTATATATTAAAATATCTAAAATTCCAGAGATAGCGACAACTTCTATTATGATTTGTATGGCATTGCTGTGTTTACATTCTAAAAAAGAAGAGCATTTGATCTCCTAGGCAATCTTGGGTACAGCAAATTATTCATAAGAAATGGATTTAAGATTGCGAGGGCCGTCGCACCATCCTTGAGAACCAATCTAGATCCTGAACTGGATGTAGTTGATTGATTCAACCTGTGTATACTTATTGTTTTGTGCATGTGCAAGTTGCAACTGGCTCTTTTGTGTTGAAACTGGAGAAAACAAATGGGTTCCAAGTTGAGTTGAGGTCCGTCTTTCCACAATTCTGCATTCATTTCGCTTAGCTTCATCAGCTCAGCTGGTCAAACAAAGGCCGCTCCCTCTGTTCTGTTCCACGACTCCCCTCAAAGAACACGTCATGCACTCCTCTGAAAGTATTATCCACTAGCTCCCTTCAGCTCTGTAAATAAATTGTAGATTTGCATGTCCTCCACAGTTAAAAGAAGAAGAAGAAGAAGAAGAAGAAACAATAGACGATGAAGACTGCAGTGTTCCTAGCACTTTCTTTCCTTCTCTGTGCCAATGCTGCACCTGATCCAGTGCTCGATATCTCCGGCAAAAAGCTCCGCACCGGCACTGGCTATTACATTCTGCCGGTTTTTCTTGGGTCGAGGGGTTGGCCTAACTCTTGCTAGCACTGGCAACGAAACCTGCCCGCTTGATGTTGTTCAAGAGCAGCTGGAGGTCTCAGACGGTCTCCCAGTAACATTTTCACCTGTTAACATCAAGAAAGGTGTTGTTCGTGTTTCCACCGATCAAAACATCAAGTTTTCCGCTGCTACAATTTGTGTCCAATCCACGGTCTGGAAGCTCGACAGTTTCGATGATTCAACACAGCAATGGTTCGTGACGACCGGTGGGGTCGAAGGCAACCCCGGTCGTGAAACCATTGACAATTGGTTTAAGATTGAAAAGTACGAAGATGATTACAAGCTTGTTTTCTGCACAACGGTGTGCGATTTCTGCAAAGTCATGTGTAGGGATGTGGGTGTTTTCATTGATGGTGGAGTTAGGCGTCTGGCTCTTAGCGATGTGCCCTTCAAGGTTATGTTTAAGAGCGCCTGAACCTTTGTTCTTCCCTGATATACCGCCCAAATCCTTCTCAGTTTTCAATTTTAACATTGTTTACTTGAGATATATATATATATATATATATATGGTAATAAAATTCCAATAATGTAATACTTAGGAAAAAGGTAATAGCATCACATGCTATCTGCTGTATGCTTGTAAACTTGGAAGTAAATTGAAATATTTGCTCACATTTAATGCTTTTCCATTCATTTTGTTGTTATTGGTATTCATTTACTACGTCACATTAGACATTTTTTACCAAATATCTTTAATATTTAATGATTAAATTTTTTTAAAAAGAAATTCAGTAAGAATAATAAATATCTACATATCGTCAAAAAGTCCGTATAATATATTCGAATTGAATTAATTTAATTACTATGTGTAATACAAGAATAATTCAAAATGAGTTGATATATAATTTTCTATATTATATAACTATCAATTAAATGATAACTATAGATATTTGACACTCATAATTTATTATTTATTAGTACTCAAAAAATATCAAAACAAATTAACCAAAAATAGTGGTTTGCTATTTTTCAATCATTGGTGTGGAAAATAAAGTATATAAAGGGGCAAAAGCGGTAGTGGGGCCAGAGGGTTCCTTTATTATACGGCATGCATGTTGAACAGATGGTCGCCCAAGTCTTAGATACCAACAAAAGGAACCCTATAATTTTTTTCATTTTAACTGACCATAATATCCCTAACAATTTTGCTAAATCACAATTAATAACTTCAAGATTTAAATGAAGTCGACGAAGGAAAAAACAACACAGAGAGAAGTGTGAGGCAACAAGGAATCAAAGCTCTGCTTCTGGTTCATCCCTATACTTATGGTTTGTCTCTCTCTCTCTCTGTCTTTCTATCTATTTTTGAAGTGTTTTTTTTTTGTTTCAAAATTTATTTATTTATTTATTTATGTATAGATATATTTAAAGTAAGTGGAGAAAATGAGAGTGGTTGTTGAAAATCACAAGGCAAATTTAGTCTAACTCTTTTCTAGCTATTCTATCTGAACCTCACACCTAAATTTGGGGGAGCCCTGTTTTTTTGACCCATTCCCTTCTCCTTAGATTGTGTCTTCATAGATTTTTGGGGAAATGGCAGTCTCCCCTTTATTTTTAGAATTTTTACACTCTCTTTTACCACTATTATAAATTACCATTCACTCTTTTCCTTTTTGCCTTTTTTTTTTCTTTCCAATTCCCAAATTCTTTCCATTTCTGAGGTTTTTGCTTCATACAATCGCATGGTTTCTGGTGAGTTTCAATTTAACTTTTCTCTTCCTTTTCCGCTTAATTTCTACTGCTCCCTCATCTCTGGAAAAATCGCCTTGTTTTTTTGGTGGGGTTGGCTCTTTGTTTGATCAAGTTCTCTCTTTTTTATTTTTGTTTTGTTTCCAGAATTTTGAAATGATAAGCAATATTATGACATGTTGGAAAAGAAAAATAATTAACAATAATAATAATATGAATCAATGATATTTAATTATTGAAGGAAAATTTAAGTGTTGAATTTTAATTATTGGATGACCAAACCAAAGTATGTATTTAAATCAGTATTAATATATGTATATGTATGTATGTATGTAATACTATAGGTAAAACGAGTTTTTACCTATAGGAATTCATTTGAGTCTCTGTACTTTTGCTTATATTTAAATATATAACTAGAGAAATATATATATCTTCAATTTTTGTATTTGATATAATTATATATTAGATTTGATATAATTACATTAGATGTTTTTTGGTCAAAATTGTATCAGAGTTTTGATTATTTTATTAAATATTGTATTGTAATTTGATATGATTATTATTGAAAGTACACTTGATAACTTCTCAAAAAAATAAAAAATAAAAAAGAGATTTGGTATGATTGCACATTAGATATGTTTTGTCTTATAGAAGATGTTTATTTTTTTTATATTATATAAGTTTTTTATTTTTATATATTATGGAATCGTATATATACAAGGTTTTTTTTTCTTTAATTGGCGAAAAGGGGATTCGAACCTTTCTCTTCAGGCTAGGGATCATGTACCAACCAATGAGCCAAATGTTTAGGTGCTTATACTAGTTTATAATTGTACAATAATCTATTTTTAACATAATTATTTCAACCTTTTTGATGTTTTCTATTATATATTTATTGCATTTTATATTAAATTCTCTATTTAATCAGTTTTCATATATTTTCAATCTAATAAAAGTTTAAAATATGATACCAGTATGTACACGTGGACAATAATCACCTACTTTATGAAAATTGTCAATAAGGGAAACAAGAAACTTTTTCTTCCATTGCTTATTTTGCAAAAGAAAAAACAGAGGTTGACTTTGTCTGTCTTTTTCCGGCAACAAAAACATATTTACGTATGTCACAAAACATTGCAAAACAACATCGGACAGTTTTCTTATATTGCCTATTTTGTTCCCGGTTATTGTTCAAAACTCTAGTAATGGCTGGTAGCATTTTTTTTTTTAATAATTGAGAGAGGGGGAATTCGAACATTGCTATTTAAGCAGGGGGATAATGCACCAACCAATGAACCAAATGCTTGGGTGCGGCTGGTAGCATTTTGCTTGTCTTATGTTGCAAAAGTTGGATTGTCCAAGTTGTTGTCAGAACCCCAATTTGATTTATGGTAACTACCGTGTTGACATATTTGAATTAGGTTGAGGTAGAGATGATGTTCAGTCTTATGCTTGTTGTTTGAATTAATTAAGTTTGGTTAATTTTTTTATACAATCATTCTCTTGGTAAATATACCTTGTCTTGTACATGATTGTTTGATTTCTCTACTAAGAGAATCGTTTTAGTATGATTTCCTTTTTGTTTCCTTGATAAATTTGACGATTTCTATATTCCACTAATTAGATAGCTGTTAGTTGTTTATTGGTTATAGCTTTTTGGAAAATGTTATGTTTGTCTTATGCAACTGATTGAGTAATTAGTTAACATCGTGATTTATTGCCTTTTGTTGTTTTTATATGGATTGCGTTGATTGAATTGAGCTACTGCCCCGTAGTTGACATTGCAATTTTTTTTTTCCTACTCCAATCAGTTTTTTTTATTCTTCTACTTGTTAAGTGGATTACGTTTACCCTTAGCAATTAATGGGCAAATGCTGTGAAGTTCTGTTTCAGGTGTGCCCAGAATCTTCCTATTCTATGCTACGAGAACTTCAAGTGACAATTGGTTCGAAAGGAATCAATTTGACTATTTGAGCAAGAACTTGGAAAATGGTTTAGTACTTTCCTTTTCTGCGTTGAGAAATATATTCTCAAGGAAGCAGTAATTAATTACCCTCTGAACCTGTTTACCTCTTTTTCCCTTTGAAAGACAGTTGATGATTGCTTATAGCATAAAGTTTGTGAAGTTAGTGGTGTATTTGATAGTAGTGGTTAGTTCATTGTATGGCTCTAAGATGTCTTTTTCAACAGCTATCTTTGTTATGAATGTTTTGCTTGTGCAATTTCTTATACCCCCTTCCTGAGTTTATGATTTCTTCCAACATCTATTTTGGCTTGGAATAGATTGCTGCATCTGGGTACTTTATAGAATTTTTCTTTGACTGAAATTTGTTGGTTTTATTTCTTGTTTTCCTAATAGTTTTGATAAATAATTGTTCTCGCTGTGATTAGCGTGGAAAATTTTATTTCAAACATGGTTTTTTAATTGTGTAAATCTTCATAAGCTTTTAATAAAGCTGCCTATTTATATGTTTATGCTATTGACATGGACAGATACAGCGAAAGATGCCTTGTGCCCATCAACAAACCCATCAAGATAATCAGAAAGTCTCAGAGGTAGGAAAGGCTAACCGCTCCAAGAATTCTTTGCAGCTGAATGATTCTAGAAGATCATCAGAGGTTAGATATTTTCCTTATATTTCACCAATATTAAGTGGTCGAGTTCATACTCTTTTACTTTGTGATTAGCTGGAGTAATTTTTTCTATCACTGTCCATATATTATTCAGGATTCTGGAATTTCTTCTTTCAATTTGAGGAACATTGGTCAGAGGTAATCCAATTTTGATCGTTAGCTATGTACACTGTACTTACATGTCCTTCTGCTTCAAGTTAAAGGTGATCAATAAATTGCTCTAGGTTGCATTTGGGAACTTGAATTTGATTAGTATAGATTTGGGTGATAGAACTCATGAAATCATGACTTTCTCAATTAATTCCAAATTCATGGATTTGCTATATCTCTATTTTGGTGGTGTATTTGAAATACCTTAATAATTTAGGGAATTTGAAATTCAGCTACTTAAACCCTTTCAAATATAAACTTTTTTTTTTTTTTTTATAATTGGGGGAGGAGGGATTCAAACCATGCTCTTTAGACAGGGGGATAATGCACCGATCAATGAGCCAAATGCTCGGGTGCCCTTTCAAATATAAACTTAACTAGTTTTTAGATAGCATTTAGCTTCATCCCTCACAATGTATATAACAAGCCAAATCCAATAAATTCTTCCAAATTATTATTCCCAAACATAGAATCAAAGTTTTTGTTTGGTACTTGAGACAACACTTAAGCTGTCAATACCATTAATTTTTTTTCTCCTCTAGTATTATTTTTCTAGATGTCTCTCATTTAATGAGATTGCTTAATAATGGTTTTCAATTATCTTTCTTTTCATATTTGCTAATTTCCTTTTATATTATCATTTTCTTTTTTAGTATGAAACTGTGTGTCCTTGCATCTAGGATATCATTGTAGGAAAATTAGAAGTTCAAACTTCAGATACTCTATTAATTGGAATTGATCGGAAAATGAAGTTATTGTTTAATAATAATATTTAAATCAATATAAAGAAAAATCTTTGTTTCAAATCTGTTGAAATCCATCCGTCAAGAAGAGAGATTCTATAAGATGTACTAATTTATGTGCTGACTTAAAGTAATTCAGTTTCTAAAACATTTGCACAAATTGGAAGTACACAGGGTGATAGGCATTTGATGTCTGAACATATCATAGAGAAAATACCTTACATTTTGTTGACATGGCATGCAAAACAAAGAAGCAAATGATGAACCCCCCCTCGTCCCCACCCCAAAGAAAGAAAAAGAGAAAAAAAAGGGAACCAGATTTTTTTTTTTTAATGTATGAAATGTCAAACGAATTAATTTCCTTCTGCCAAACGACCAGCTAATGCTTTGTTGCCTTATCCAAGGTGAGAAAAACATATGTAATTCATTCAAAAAGGTCTGACAAATACTTTCTTTAAAATTTGATTATCTATTAAGGCTATATTGTGTGGGTTAAGGAAGTGTGAGAATTTTGTGAAGATTATATTACCCTTTTGTTTTGAATCAAATTTTATGATGCTAGTTATAAAAAAAAAAATTCAATTATGCTATTATGTTATTGTTAAGTCATTTTTTATTACTTAGGGGAGTCCTTGTCGTATTAGAATAAATTAACCTTTAAGAAAGTAATAAATCCTAAAAGTTAATGAAAAGCTTGGGTAAAAAGTAAGCCAAAAGATTTTCATTAAAATAATCAAGACAAAATATTATGGCTCAGATGCAAATTGATCCTCTAGAAAAGCTAGCGTATATAAATGTGTTTTGGCTACTCTTGATAGCAGTAGTAAATAGAGTTAACCTGAGCATGATCTTGCATGGTGAAATTAGGAATCTTTATGAATGCAATCTATATATAGAACAATTACTTTGCGTACATGGTTATGTTTTATGATAGAGGAAGTATGTTCAGTTTGTTGATATGTATAGATAAAATGTTAGTAAGGGCTTGACTCACACTTCGGATGCCATTTACATTCAAAACATTGTGTTGTTTTATTTGGGGTATAGCTCTCCCTTGTAATCTCATAAGCATACATAAGTTTTTTATATTATTCCCAGCATGCCTTAATATTTAGTACTTGAATGTAAGCTTCTTCTCTGACAAGAAGACCTTCCAGTTGTCAGTGGAGTCTTAAGAAAAGCTTTTTGAGCAGCTTGTGCATAGTTGGTCTGGGTTAAATGTCTAATGACTTAAATTCAGGGTTGCAATACTGAGTGGAAAAGAATGAGGATTTAGAAATTTGCAGATGTGTGTTTCTCTTGTATTTTACCTTTTTGTTCTGATGAAACTACTTTCGTAATTTCTGATTGCTAACATTTATAACTGGAAGTTAGTCCTCTAGTTTCCTTCTTTCTCATTTTCCAATGTGCATCAGCAGTGTTTGTTTCTCTTTTGACTATATTTACTTGATTGTGTAACTGGTCCATCTCCTGTTAATCTTTTAGGTGTGCCATTTTGACATTACCTACACTTGGATCTGATGGACAATGGAGAATTGTTGCAATACCTTTGCAATATCTGGATCACAATAACCTTTTCGGATCTGGAACTCACCTGAATATGAATAGCATGCACCTGGTTTCCTCTCCGTTGATTAATTCAGTTAAGGTTGATGGACGGAAGACACAGAAAGGGCCTCAGCCTGAGGTTACTTATTCTGCCAAGCTATGTAGAGCCAGAAGTTTCTCTGGATCCAATATGCAGCATCAATTTCGCACCAGGACTGTTGCAAACAAAATGACTAAATTGAATGATGTGGCCAACAATTCTTCCTGTCAGAGTTCCGTCACTTGCAATGATTCTTCTGTTTTTATGCCAAAAGGATCTACTGCTACTAATCCATCTGCTTTGTTCGTCGATTGTTCTGAGGAAGACAAGTCTACGAAGAGAAATTCCCGAAAGAAGGCAAAAAAGAAGGGAAAACATAGAAAGAAACATTTGTGTGATGTTAGCTCCACAGCATCAGAAGTTTGTTCTGAGTATACACATGGAAGTTCAGCATCTGAAATCTGTTGTAACAATGACATGAATCAGGGTATAGTAGTATCATGTGCAACTTCACCTTCTAATGGTTTGCTAAATATAGTGGATTTTGCAGACAGCAGCAATGGTGTTATTACAAGTTTTGAATCACCAAATATATGCATATCTGACATTGATCAAGTGGATATGACAGAATCTATTGTACCTTCTCAAGTTCAGAAGTTGCCTAGTGAGTATCTTATTAATGATTCTGAAATTGGTAAAGAAGAGCAGCAATTTTCCAGGTCTCAAGGAGGTTTAGAGAGGAGATATCCGTCACAGGTGGGCTCTCTTGATTGTATACATCAGGAGGATTTCTCTGATTTGCATGATTCTTTAGTGTTGGATTCAGTTTCTGTTGGTTCAAACAGTGAAGAGAGTATGAGTGCTAGTCATATTGTTAAGCCATTTGATAACAGCCATGAAAATAGTCAATCAGAGTCATCCGGTTCCAATACCAAGGAGGGACCCTTCTATCATCAAAACTCATTATGTAGCATTTCAGAAACCCATGATTATACTCAGGGACCAAAGCATGGTCTGGATTTTAGCAGCTGTGATGTACAAATGGTTGCATCAGGCAAGAGGGGTAAGCAGTTTAAATCAGTTCCTGCGAGTTCAAGTACTTGCAAACTTGGAAGTATAGGAAACTTGCACGGTGGAACGGGGACAGAGAACAGTCATTCCGTTTGGCAAAGGGTTCAGAGGAATGGTGTAGAGAAGTGCAACACTGAGCAGAAGAAAACAAGTCCCATTTGCTCAGGGTCTGATGTTACTTCAAAGGATGCTCCTTTACTGAAAAGAAGTTCTAATGCTGCCAATGAAACAACCTTATCTAGGACTAATGATAAAAGGAAGTTAAAAGATAAGGTTCCTAGGAAGTTGAAAAGAAAAGTTAGTCCAGCTTCAAAACAAGAAAAAAGCAGTTGTTCGAGGAAGGGGTCTCATCCCAACAAGGTAAACTCCAATGCTCATGCAAAGACTAGCAGCATGCAAAAAAATGAAATGTTAGATGTTTTAACTGCTCTGAATGACCAAAGAGTAATTAAAAATGTTTCAAGGTCTTGTACTCAGCTTGGTTTTGCGAGGGTTGAGACCGTGAAATCTGAATCACTTAGCAACTTACCAGTTAGTCCAGGCGGCATGGAACCATGTGAAAGTGTCTCTGATGCTGCTCCTGGTTTGAATAATCAATGTATAGAGAATCAAGACAGCTTGTTGAAAAAGTCATGTGTCCCTTTGGACCAGCCAAATTTGCATGAGGTGCGAGCTCCAGTGTACCTCCCTCATCTGATGGTGAATGGTGTTGGTCGAACAGAGAAAGAAATTTCTCTTGCAGAAAATGGTAAGCAAAGCCATAGTTCGGGCTCTGTTCTGCAGAAATGGATACCTGTTGGGATAAAGGATCCTGGATTTCCAACATCTGCTAGATCTGCCAGTGTGTTGATGGAACATTCTAATGGGCCAGATGCTGAAGATTGGGCTTTCAAAAATAAATTTGAAGAGAAAGTTGCTCCCTTTGCTCAGAATCTTTCTTCTTCAGTTGATGCTGGAACAATGTGTAGCATTGGTAAGGATTCAGGACATGCAATTAGTTCTCCTGAAAATGATAACCATATTAAAAATTTGAGGGATCTTAATGCTTGCATAAATGAAAATGAAAACAAGCATAATGGGGCCAATTTCTTAATAGATGAAACTAAAGAACAAAATTTGTCAGCACTTGCAACGGATTTGAACAAGATATCTAAGTCATTGAATGATGCCTATAGAGCACAATTGGCATCTGAAGCTGTTCAGATGGCCATCGGGGGTCCCATTGCCGAGTTTGAAAGGCTTCTTCACTTTTCTTCTCCAGTTATTTGTCATTCATACAGTTCAGTAGCTTGTCAAACTTGCTTGCGGGACCAGGTTCCTAGTGGTCTATTGTGTAGACATGAGACACCAAACATCCCGTTGGGATGCCTGTGGCAGTGGTATGAGAAACATGGCAGCTATGGATTAGAAATAAGGGCTGAAGATTATGAAAATCCAAAGAGATTGGGTGTTGATCAGTTTGAATTTCGTGCCTACTTTGTGCCTTTCTTGTCAGCAGTTCAACTCTTTCGGAACAGTAAAAGTCATTCCACCGCAAACAACACCACAATTTCTTCTCCTGGAGTTTCTGAGGGTTATGATACTGGTTCCACTTCAAGAAACTTTACCAATGTCAGTCACCTTCCAATATTGTCAGTGCTTGTACCCCAGCCACGCACTTCAGAACCAAGTAGTCATTTGCCAGTAAATGATGTGGTTAGATCAGAACCATCTCTAGTTTCTTCTAAGGATGGGTTGTCTGCCAAATCAGTTGACATGGCATGGTCAGATTGTCTAGAACCAGTTTTTGAGTACTTTGAATCTGAACAGCCTCAGCAAAGACGGGCATTATATGAAAAGTAAGTGTTAATTTTATTTCTTGTCAGTATTTTCCCTTTGTATTTACAATACTTTTGACATCTGATATGATTTTCATGGAACTTATCATTTTATTATTAAATGTTAAGTTTCCTCAGTAAGTAGAACCAACTCTCATGGTTTCTAATCAACCTTTCCCCTATTCTCCACCTTCACCTGCTAAACAAAAGTGTAATAGTTTTCTCTTTTGATTACATGGATACAAATCTTGATGCTAAATACTATCTTTCCATTCTTGACCTCTAACATAATTGAAGGCTGGAATCATGATCCGGCTGCTCTTGCTTCTGAGTTAATGATAGGCTGAATGTAGTAGAAAAGTTTTTTTAGCTTGTAAGTCTTGGTTGTGCTTTGTTTTATGCTGTTCTTATGCTTCTTCTGGCTGTTGGTGCATTATTGATGATAACTCTAATTTGCTGTTCTTGTTTTAATTAAATGTAAACAAGCAATTAATAATGGGACAGAAGGTGAAGCTTCGGATTGACATGTTATTTAATTAGTCACTATAATTTTGATTTAACCCTTTTCGGTTTGTGGGCAGACTTGGGTGAATCTAGTTTGCTAATAAAAATAACAAAATTTTTTTTCCAAATACCTTGATTATGATTCTGTTTGTTTCAGGATACAAGAACTGGTTAGAGATGATGTTTCTTCTCGGTGCAAAATGTATGGGGATCCAGTTCATCTGAACTCCATAAATATACATGATCTGCATCCTCGATCTTGGTTAGTGATAGAAAAGGATTCACATAACATAAAGTGAATGATGTTGTGGTTTTATTTTAGATAACTTAATGCAAGATGAAATTCTTTAGTATCTAGTTATACCAAGAGGATTTTTAATGTTGGTTGCTTCTATATTTCAGGTATTCTGTTGCATGGTATCCTATTTATAGAATTCCAGATGGAAATTTTCGTGCAGCATTTTTGACTTATCATTCACTTGGCCATTTGGTTCGTAGAAGTTCCAAGTTTGATTACCCTAGTATGGATGCATGTATAGTATCTCCTGTTGTGGGTCTTCAGAGTTACAATGCCCAGGTATTCATAATTAATTACTCAATTGCTATCCTTTTGAAGCCCGGCTTTGATACTTTTAAGTGGCTTTGTGGTAGTGCCTATTTTTTAACAGCCTTTAAGATGTTCCCTGTTGCCCAATTTATTTTGTTTGGACAAACCTCCCTTATTGAACTTCATGTATTTCAAAGAGCTATATTTCCTTTACCAGTAGCTGCACAGAGGCATGCATCAATTATTATGACTGGGATAGGTTCTTCTTGAACTGTAATCGTGCAGGGTTGTGTGAGATAGAAGCAGTCATCTGTGCTTCTGTTCTAAATTACAAAGGCTGCCTTATTAACCGACGCAATTCTACTTGAACGTCATAAAGGTGTTTTTGGCCTCTAATTCGGTGGACTTGTTTGAATTTTACATAACACATGAAAATCTCAACCTAGAAGGGGCCTAAGAGGAATGCTAGTGTTAGCTGTGTACTTTGTTTGAAAATAAATGATAGCTTTTCTTATTAGGTTGGCTAGTATTTCAATAAGGGTAATTTGGAATTATGAATTATATTTTTTTAAGTGGGCAGTATTTTGGGACATCCTAAAATAATAAGATGAATATTCAAATTGAATTGTGAGAGTGTTGTATAGATGTTTCTGCTAATATGTTAGGGGTGATTTTGTCTAAAGATCATCCTCTCCAACGGTGATGCCGTTTAACTCGATGACTGAGGATAACAAATGTAGGATCACAGAGGCAAATACCAAATTGGGTGATCCTATTTTATCGTGACACCAAGAACTCTATCAGCTGTGCCCTCTCATCAGCATTTCAAATGACTAGAGGATGCCTTCAGTCATTTGCACCAAATGTTGAACCAAATCTGTTATCAGAAACTTTCCAATCTGACGCACATTCATATTTAATTGTGAAAGTAAGCTTTGACAGATATTGATTTGGTATGTTTTTGTTAGTTCCTATTATTAACAGATGCACTTACGGGTATCGGTTGAGTATTTACGAATAATAACATTAAAGTATATATGCTTGAGCCATTAGATAATCTGAGGACTAGAATTTATTGGTGAAAGACTGGTACTTCGCTGCATAGCTTAGAATGGGAGAACGCATCTATTGTCTTTTAATGGAAAATATGCATCCAGTGTCTCTCGGATCAAAATACATGGACTGGTTTTACCCCTATTTCTTAGTTATGGAATTGTGCTATGGCTTTTCTAGTTATCTCTAATTAAACTATTTCAGAACTTAGTTTTCAAAAGCAAACATTCCATTCTCAAGATAACAATCATGAAATTATTGACTTGGTGTTCACTTAAACTGCTGATTCTCAAATAAGAATGCCCTTGAGTCAGTCTAATGCGCAAGCATATCTTCTTCTCATTATCATTACTGCCTCTTCCATTAGTTATTATATTTTGTTGTGCGGCCATTGCATATCTACTGCATCTGTTTTTAAAGGTGGTGGATTCTTTAATCATTAATGCTCATCACTTGAACAGGGTGAATGCTGGTTCCAGCTGAGGCCCTCTACCGTGAATGATTTCTCTGAAATCCATGGCTTAAGCCCTTCAGGAATACTGAAGGAGCGATTAAGGACTCTCAAGGAGACTGCATCTCTTATGGCAAGGGCTGTTGTGAACAAGGGAGATCAGACTTCAGTTAACAGACACCCCGATTACGAGTTCTTTCTCTCTAGGCAAAGATAGTTATCTCTGTGCAGCTCACCTGGTGACCTCTTCAGCTTGTAAAATAGTTCAGCTATGTTCAGGTAGAAGCTAACCTATAATAGGGAGTTCAGTTCATAGTGTTCTATGGCCAATGGATGTTCTATATCTGTACAGTTGTTTGTATGAGTACCTTTGTATTGATTTTAAAGGAATGTTAGTCTTAAAAAACTTCATATAGGTTGCATAGCTTTAGCAGCCCCCGAAATGATGTATATATGTTTGTTTCATGAAAGTTGGAAGTTTCCTAGTTTATAGTCTTCAAACCATCTATGGTTGCCCGCATACAAGCAGATTGACATTTCTTAAATAAAGAAACTGCCCAAAGTGCTTGTTGGTTTGGACAATCTTTAGAATTGTAAGATGGCAGATGTGCCTATCAAAACCCCATTTTAGCCCAATGGAATTCTTCAAGCCAATCGCCAACAGGCTTATTGACATGACAACTTTCCAGGTCTGCTGATGACAAGACCCTAGGAACAAAGCAAAAATGAAATTGTTTCTAACATGAATGGCTTGAGAAGAGAGTAAGACTATGCTTAGGAATGTTATATAGATTGTAGCTGCCCATTGGCATTCTAATAACCAGATTTGGAGATTGGAGACCAATAATATTTATAATCTGCATTAACCTTGAGTCAAGTAGACTAATTATCATCCAACCCTCTAAGCTTAAGCAATTTCCTCCAAAGACCAATTGCAGTACCGTCTAATTCCACTCTGCCAGAGATTCTCACCTTTCAAATATAATTCAGAGACTTCATCCATGTAAAACTCAACCGAACCCGACCTAACCTAAATTGAGCATAAAAAGGAATGCTAGGGGCCCTAGTCCCCTGGCCACTTAAAAGTTCTATTAACCATAATATTCATTTTTTACAATTAAAGGAAAATGAGAAATATTGCTCCCCCCCTATGATAAATGTAATGAGTTACTAACAAGCTTAATTCTAGACTCAGATTTCTTATTTTCATTCATTTTAAATTAATGTAATCAGGTAACAACTAATTAAATTATAAATTTTACTTTATAATTAAAGCATGTTGGTACTTATTATTACGTCAAACAATTTCTTTCTATATGGGTAAAGAAAATACAATTAAGGAATGTTCAATTACTATATATTTTGTGCAGACAAATCAATTGTAGGTATAATGTCCCCCCCTTTTTTTTTTCTTTATTTGATTTCCTACTAGCTTTTCATTTTCAAAGGTTGTGTAATTTCTATTCTTTATTTTTTAAAAAAAATTATTAATCTTATTCAAATAACCCTTTATGTATGAAATACGTACTAATTCCAAAATTCTTAAAATAGAAATAATTAAAAGGTTACTTAATATCGAATTGGTACAATTGTAAATGGCCCTAAGCTACATCTAGATTTCCTAATTTTGCAGATGGACCTCTCTAAAGGGATAAATTAAAAACTTTACTGTTAAATAAGTGTAATTTTAATGTCTTCACTTCATATTAATGCAATGCCATTATCTATATACGAAAACTACTCACATATTAGGGAGCTTGGCTCTTTGCTTGTAGCTATGTATAGTGGATAAAAACTATGTCGCATTAATTTTGCAGAGAATATAAATCTACTGCGTACCAACACATCGTTCTCCAACAACAACCTGGATTATTCTCTCTACACACCAAAATGAAAATGGTGATGCTAAGTGTTAGAGCTGTAGTCACTGTGAAACAAACAATTGGCTGCAAAGGGCTAAGGGATTTCCTAAACTCGCCTGCTAATTGATACTCTTGGAGCTTGCTAGTGCTGAGCTTGACCCAAGCAAGTAAAGAGAAAGGAGAAGGTTTCTTTGCTTCTATATTCTCCTTGTCTTGAACAATTTTAATGCAGTAAATATCGATCATTGTTGTAATTTTCATGCAAATATCAATCGAGTTATTTGTAGCTCAATATTTCGTAGAGACCGGATTAGAGAAGGACACGATTAAAGCTTATGCACATGGGGTGAAAGAAGGTGGTACGTCACGTATGAGGCTGAACTTAAAGGTGGGGAAGATTTTGGGGAGGTTGGTGCGGTTCTTGTTGAGAATGAGCACCACAAAGAAATATTTTTGGAGGAAATACTCTGTTGATGGTTTCACCAGGGGTCCGGTTACTGTCGAGTGTAAATCTTGGGTTCACTCAAAGTACGACAATCCTGGGAAAAGAGTCTTCCTCACTAGCAAAGTCAGAATTCAAAACTTACTAGCTAGCTGAAATCATTCACCCATGCTTTTCTTCAAGAAAAATAGAGATAAAATTCCGAAAAAAGAAGAGAAGTTTCTTGATTTATTACGAAGTATTTGTTTGGAGCAGTCATGCTTGCCATCACAAACTCCAAGCGGATTGAGGGGACTGAGAAAGGAAGAGCTGAGGGTTTTGAGATGCAAATGGTAAAGGAGAGCGTTAGTGGTTTGAAAGGATATATGATTATGATGTTTACGATGATATTGGTGAGCCTGACTCTGATCCAAGTAAAACAAGACCAGTGCTGGGCGGCTAAGGCCTCCCTTACTCTCGACGTTGCAGAACGGGACGTCTCCCGTGCCCTAGAGGTACGTATAAACTATTTCTTGCCTTCCATCTTTATTCAAACGTCGAGAACTAATTTTTCATATAAATCATTAATATTTTGCATTCATGTTTGTACAGTGTGAGGGGATCATTATCTCAATAGAATATTCTGATAGAAGAACATGTAGTTCTACCATGGAGCCATACGAAGCTTTGCGTCATACTCATATGTCTGTTGACTTCTCTAAATCTCTCATTTCATAACCATGGCTATACACGATTGCATGCAGATCATGAATCCGAGACAAAGAGCAATAACGTGTACGTGCCGAGGGATGAATGCTTTTCGGGGGTTAAGCAGCGAAAACTGAGAGAAAAGGACGGCTTCGTCTTCGCTTCACGCCTTGATCCGGTCACTGCAGCGTAGGATCGTTGGATTCCTAAACTGCGCGGCTATAGACCAGCTGTTCGTTGAGGGGATGGAATCTCCTCCCCGAGGTTATACTAGTGTTGAACAGTTTCTGATCAGGAAACTCCATGGAATATTTATCACTGTGTGGTGCTTTATTGGCTATCATCTCGGACACAACTCGTGTCCCTGGCCCTTTAAGACTCCTCAACCAATGCAAAGTCAGCTCTCTTCTCTTCCTGTCTCGAATCAATGGACCTGTATATGCATACAAAATATATACAAATTGTTACAAATTTTTACTGCTTTAGCTTGGGACATGATCATGATACGCTGTTTTCATGTGTAGGGGATAGATTCTTTTGGGTGAGGGATGAAGAGTTTGTTCGGCAAACCCTTGCTGGAATCAATCGATTTGCTATTAAACTAGTTACGGTATGAACTATATACAGATACTGGAAATTAAAGCATTAATGCATATGAAAAAAATATGATTAAAAGGGACTAAGATGTGAAAAATATTAATTAATCAAAGACCCACCGGTCTTATCCATACCCAAATTATGATCAGGAGGCTTGACATTAGATTAAAGAATTTTGATAACATGCTAAAAAATAACTTAATTTGAAAACTTAAACTACTTATGATATTATTCAAGCATTTAAGAACATGTTTTTTATTTTTTTTTCTTTTCGAATAGCAGCCGAACTTCAGTTTTCTAATTACTAATAAAGCTAATATAAAATTAAACAAAACACACAAATAGTGAAACTTAAATGTAGGGGAACTGTTAAAGATTTCAAAATCTTTTTTTTATTAGAATGGATAAAATACACTAATTTTTTCGATTTTTTATCATAATTACATGTGGGTTCATTCATTTTTAAAATGAGCATTTCATTATAAAAGAAATATTTTCGCTAGATATATAAGTTTTGTCGTTAGTCAACTATCAATATTTTTATTAGTTTGATGATTTGATAATAATTTTAGAATAATTTTATTGATTATTAATTTTTAAATTATCATTATATAAATTATAATTTTTTATTTTAAAATGTTTTTCTCCTTTTCAAAAAAAAAAATCTTTCCACCGGCCATCTAAAATGCTCCCCACTAATCTGGGGAGCACAAAGTGCTCCTCAAGGGAGCCTAAAGAGATCTAGCTGAATCTAACATTCCATGGTCAAATTTAATCGCGGAATGATTGATCGGTGTAAGTGAATGTCATCGACTGATCTGAGAGAAAGGAAACGAGTGGAAGAAAGAAAAATGGTATTTTAAACATTTCATATTTTAAATATTAATGTTGTTTACATGTTTGAGGGTAGAGTATTCATTTTGAAAATTAATAGATCAACATGTAATTATAGTTAAAAGTTGAAAGGTCAATGTATTTTTATCCTAATTTAATCTTTAATAGTATATATGCAAGTTTGATTAAGTAAATTTTAATTTAAGAAAAGAACTCCTCTATGTGATACATATGTACTTCTTGAGAGTTTTTTTGGTATGATTAAACTGTATGTATTGTGGCTATCATTAATCTATTCATCTGCAAGGCATGCTAACAAAAAGAAAAACAAAGGTCTTGAGTTTAAAGATTTTTTACAAAATCCAACAGGAATGGCCACTTATGAGCAAACTTGATCCTGACATGTACGGTCCTCCGGAATCTACAATCGCCAAAGAAATGATATCAAAGGTTAGAGGTAAACCATAAGAGATTTATTGGAAAGTTTAAATAAATAAAATAAAGAAAAATTTTACGAATAAGATTACAGAATTGTCACGTTTTTATTAAATTTAAAAATTCTATTATCGATATATAAAATAATAATCGTTAGACATTTCATCAATATTTTGGATTAATTAATGTAGGCAATAAAACAAAAAAAGTTGTTCATCCTAGATTACCATGACCTGTTACTACCATTCGTTAAGAAAGTGGGAGAGCTTAAAGGCACAACAGCATATGGATCACGAACACTATTTTTGTTAAACCCAAATGAGACTTTTGAGGCCTTTCTCCATCCAGCTGAGTCGGCCACCCATGGATGGGAAACCGCAGTTCTGGAAACAAAGTATGCAAACCCTGTGGGCCTTGCACAGGTGCCTGGCTATGGAGGCTTGCCAAAACTCATGTGCTGGCTCATGATTCCCTCTATCACCGGCTTGTTACTCATTGGTATGTACCATTTCTTCATCTTTAACCAAAGTTTTCATTGCTTTCATCCCAACCTCTTAAAACGTTTTTGGCACCTACACGTTTCTGTTTCAGTGTTAACTTGTTATTTCCATTCCATGTGCAGGCTGAGAACTCATTGTGCCTCTGAACCTCATATAATTGTAACAAATAGGCAACTCAGTGTGTTGCACCCAATCTATGAATTGCTTCATCCTCATTTCCGTTTCACAATGAAGATCAATACACTTGCTCGAGCACACCTAAGCAATGCTGATGGGATCATCGAGAGCTCATTCTCGCATGCCAATTATTCCATGGAGTTCAGTTCTGTTGCCTACGACCTTGAGTGGCGATTCAATCATCAGGCGTTCCCCGCAGATTTAATTAGCTGGTAGTTTGTTCATTCGGACTCTATTTGATTGGTACTTTCGTAGCTGATGTGATTACATCTTGCTTCTAAAAGCAAAAGGTTCACAAAAAAAAAAAAAACCAAAACAGTTAATGGTATAATGTTTCCATCTATTTAAGGACTTAATTGGGTAAAAAAAATAATTGTTTGATAGCTTAATTGATTGCAATATAAGAATATGAGTTAAAAGTGAAATTATAAAATATTTTTATGTATTGAAATCATTTTAATTTTTACAAATAAAAAATAAATAGCTAAAAGCAAATAATAAAATAATTGCCTTAGGATCAGTTTCATTGTTACTTTGCTCACTATTTTGAATTTTATCTTTTATTTTTAAAATTTTTTTATAAAGTAAAGTAGATGATTAAAAATAAAATTATAATAAATTAAAATTAGTTAAATAATTATATAAAATGTAACTCCAATTATAATATAATTGGTCTATAGGAAAGCAGAACCATACATTTCGTTATTTAAAAGCAAAATAGAAGTAGAATCATACATCTCGTTGCCTAAAAGAACAATTATATATTTTATTAATAATTGTGAAGCTTTTTTTTTTCTTCCAAAACTAAAAGGCAAATAAAAACATTAACAATCAGAAAGAGGTTTAATTAGTTTCTATTATTCACCAACTCCACTCGCCATTTTCTAGCATAGGGGGATGGCCATGGAAGATCCAACAGCTCCTCATGGCCTAAGGTTAACAATCAAGGATTACCTTTTTGCTAATGACGGGGCTTCTTCTCTGGGACATCCTTAAAGAATTGGTCCCTGACTAGGTCAACCACTACTACCCAAATGCCAGTCTCGTGGAGTCATGAAGAACTTGAAGCATGGTGGACAGAAATGCGTGGAGTCGGCCATGGCGACAAGAAAGATGAATCATGGTGGCCTGTCCTCAAAGCCCCGAAAGACTTAATCCAAATTGTTACGACCATCACTTGGGTTTCCTCAGGTCATCATGCAGCTGTGAACTTTGGACAATATGAATATGCTGGTTATTTTCCCAACAGGCCGACAATTGCCCGGAGAAACATGCCTGACAAAGACCCGTCTGAAGAAGGTTGGAAATCCATCATTGAAAAGCCTGAAACGATGCTTCCATGTTAAACACATACCTGCACCTCAAATCATTGCATAAGTGGCTCAGCAACAGCAGGAAGCTCGGGTTGAAGAAGGAATCAGCTGCAAGAAAGAAAGAAGTTTAGCAGCAGAAACGTACCGTTTAATAAGGAAGACTTGAGCAAGAGAAGAAAGCCCCAAAGAACTCCACAAAAGTACCGTTTCAATAAAAGGAGCAGGGACTTCAAGTTATTTGCCAATACACACCGTTTCGACTAACGACCCTTTTGAAAATTAGTAAATGTTAATGATTAGTTAGTTAGTTTAGCAGCTTTACTCTTTTTTGTTTAGTAGCCAAAAGTCCCTGTATATAAATTCTTGTATTTTTTGCTTTTTCCTTGAATAAAAATCTTTAAAATTCTCCTATATTATTGTGCCGGCTTCTTCATTTTCTAACATGGTATCAGAGCAGGTTATAGTACTTGCAAATCTTGTCCTTCGAATGACGCATGGAGTATGCTGATTGGTGCTAGGGACTCATTAGTATTCTCTATTTTGCATTTATTCAGAAAGTTTTTTCTTCATACACTAAGTCTTCTTAGCTAGCTTTTATTCAATCTAAGCACCTTTACTTGCAAACTTGTAATCATGTTTGAGTGTGGAGAAACGAGGTCACAAACTTCATCACAGAGTCAGACTGCTCAAAATCAAACTCAGGTTTCACTAGTAAAAGACCCTCGATCACCCAATTACCTTCACCACACAGACCACCTTAACTTAGTGATAGTGAATCCTAAGTTTAACACCAACAATTATGTGACATGCAGTAGGTCATTTTTACTAGCACTTTCAATTAGGAACAAGGTTGGCTTTATCAATAGGACAATCATCAAGCTTGCAATTACATATCCTCTGTTTCTTTTATGGACTAGATACAACAACCTAATTGTTGCTTGGCAATTAGACTCAATGTCACCACCCATAGCCTCCACAGTATTTTACATGGATTTTGTATCAAATATTTGGAATACTCTGAAGCAGAACTATGCACAACCAAATGACAGTAGGATTTGCAACCTCCAATACACTTTGGGGAATGTGACTAAAGGCACCAGATCAGTGGACTCATACTTTGTTGAGCTGAAAAGTATTTGGGAGAAAATGAGGAATTACAGACCTCTACCCCATTGTGAGTGTGGGAAATGCAATCGAAGTTGCTTTAAAAGGAACATAGATAAACACCAGAAAGACATGGTTTTCAGATTCTTGAATGGCCTAAATGACCCATTTGTAGCTATTAGATCACAGATTATTCTTATGAATCCTATTCCAGCTCTTGATAAAGTCTATAGTCTTGTTTTGAGAAAGAAAGCACAAAGGAATCTAATGCTCCAGGTTCTGCCAACACTTGAATCATCAGCCATGCTTACTGCCACTAATGGGAAGAAAAGTATAAAAAAGACATCACTTGTAACCATTATGGGAAGAAAGAGCATATAAAAGAAAAATGCTATAGACTTGTAGAATTTCCTAATGACTTCAAGTTTACCAAATGGAAGAACAATGGCAGAAAAGGGGAGGTAATAGCAAATAATGTTTCAATAGCAAATGACATGTCAATTGAAGAATACCAAGGAGATTAGGAAGAAGAAATTAATGGTACTGGTTCCATGTCACAAATGTCTATCATTAAGCAATAAGTCAGTAAGTTAATGAAACTCTTAAATGAGAATGGTTTGATCAATTCAGATGGTAAGGGCCTTTCATTAAACACCTTGCAGAGTAAGACTTCTTTGGTAAACTCAGCATTTGCAAGTATAATTTCAAGCCATTCTTGTTGCAATACCTTCAATAATATGCCCTTCAAATTTAGAAATGTTAATTCACACATGATAAAACAAAAATTTTGAATTATGGACCCAGGAGCTACTGATCATATCTCATACACTTTAGACAACTTTCTTTCAGCTAGACTAGTAACTGATCGCTTTGTCCAATTACCAAACAACAAATAGCTTTGATGACAAACATAGGAATGATTAAGTTAACACTATTGTTGATTCTCAAAGATTAACTAATGAAGACAGTCCCATAACTGAATCAGACTCACCTGCAACCATATCAACAGAGTCAACCTCTACCACTAAATACCAATGACATAAATGTTGACTCACAACCATTTGATAATCTGCCTGCAGCGAACAACACTGATATTCCAAAGACCATTTTACCTATTGATCCACCAGCCACACTTAGAAAAAGTACAAGACCTAAAAGCACTCTAAAATATCTTGATGCATATTATGTTGACATGCCAACTCAAACAAATGCTGTGACAGCCCATTCAACAACACAATACCCATCATCACATAAACTATCATCCACACATAAGGCGTTTACCACTTCTTTATCACACATACATGAACCTAGTTCTTACCTTCAAATTGTCATGCTATTAGATGTAAGTGGGTTTACAAAATAGAGTTAAATGCTACAGGTGATGTAATGAGATTCAAAGCATGCCTAGTAGCCAAGAGATATAACCAAGTACATGGTTTTGACTGCTAGGAGACCTTTAGTCTTGTAGCAAACCAATCCACAGCAAGCGTATTTTTGGCTTTAGCTATAGCTTGTAATTAGTCTTTATCATAGCTTGTAATTGTAAAATTAAGATTTTACTTTAGTTTGATTTAGAGTTATAATGTGATAACCATTTAACGTAAATGATAAAAATGGTAAAACGTAATTAACTAACATTAACTTAATATCAAATTAAAATTCTAATAGAAGTTGTGAAAAAATTTTTCCAAAATTTTTCTATATTATCCTACCGTCACAATTAAGGAAGGATTCTTTATCACAATCGGTAGTCAAATTGGCTAGCTGCCCATCCCATCTGGTTGCAATGGTAACCAACAAAAGAATTAATTCCTTGTTGAGCTACAAGGCAATTTGGTTCGACAATCCTTTTTCTCTTTCTTTCTCTCAACAAAAAGAAAATCTCCATACCAAATTCTTCATTGTTTCTCTCTTTAGGGTTTTAGTAGCACTCTCTCTTAAAAATTCAATAAGATTTTAGTTTGAATGCCTATCTTCTTGTGGAAGAACAAGAAAAGAAGGTGAAAGAGGTTTTTGGAAAAAAGTAAAATATTTTAATTTTTAATTTTAATAGAGGAAGAAAGGGAAAAGAAGATGGAGTTAGAAAAAGATAAAAGAAAATGAAAAACAATTCAAAAAACGTTGTGAGGGAGTTGTAGAAAAAAAAAGAGTTTTTTGTTTTATATTTAATTAATTATTAACAATTTTTTAATATTTAAATTTAAATTTTTAAAAATTTTTAGTTTTATCCCATTAATAAAGTGGTAGCTTTGATGAGCTGACAATATATAGTTCTATACACTATCAGTAGATCAAATATAAGTCCTTAGCTAAAATCTTTGTCAAAATCTTGTTTAAAAAGCAGATAAGGCTAAAATCATCACAATTGTACCTTTCCTTTTGCTACAAATTTCAAATTTTTAATCTATTTATAATGTTTTGAATTAACTTTTTCCTACTTTAATTTGTAGAAGAGATAATGTTTGAAGTTCATTTTTTTTTATTTTGTTGAAACAAAAAAAGAATTTGAACTCAATGCACTCTTCATGCTAGATTATAACTCATCATCTCATCACATTTGATACTTATTAATTAAAATTTCAAAATTTTGATTGGATGATGAATGTTAATTTCCTGACAATGTATAAAACAATAAAATGGTTGGCATCAAAACTCAAATTTAAAAGAATGTTAGGTCTTCAAACTTCGTATAAGTGCATAGCAATCCAACAATTATGTACATATAAGTTTGTTTAAAGAAAGTTGAAAGTTTTGCCGCGTATATTCTTCAAACCATGCATGGAAGACCCTAACAAGTTTTTCCTTTTTAACAATCCCGCTTAGTTCACTTGTTTAGCAACTATGTTATTATTAAATAATAACATTTTATATTTAATTAAAACACATGATTTATTGATAAAATAGTTTAATCGAAACAAGCCGAGTTAAGTTCGAGCCTAATACAATGGATTGATATTTATAAATACAGAATTATCAAATGTTATCACCCCACTAATATAATAAATAAATTTAAAAATCAAGAATTGTAAAAAATAAATACTTATTATTTCAAGGACTATCTTTTAAACTCTCACCTTTGCACTGTGTGAACTAATATTGTATAATATATTAATTATAAAAATATTTCTAAACAAAATCTGCAAAGTCAAGCGGCAAATAAATTGGTCGTTAAGAACATGCTTGTGCTTGCGGTCCAAATTCCGGTTACGCTATGTATTACAGGCTGGATTAATGGGTCAACTTCATTATAAAATATAAAATATTGTCGACATAATAACAAAATGGATACATCATGACAATATTTTCTTCTACACCGTTGTCAACTTATGCATATTTCTTACTATTTTTTTTTCTAGTTGTTACGTTCAAATTGCGGAGTAGTGTCATTGCAGTCCAATTTATACTTATCTAATTCCACATATTTGAAAATCAATTTTAGATACCTTGGACTATATTATATATGTAACATAGTCATCAATTAGACTCAAATTACGTAAGATGTAGGTCTCTGGCATCTTTAATTATAAACCTCGTTTCTTTATTCCCAAAGTTGGAACTTATATAATCATGGGTTTATTAGTTTAGAATTTCTTAATATGATCAGACCTTTGGCTAAAAACAAAAGACATGCTCAAGCCAGTGTACTGTGATGCACCTTTATTGTTTTGTTTGAATAACAAATAATAATTTGGATAATTAAGGATTCAAGTAATTAATCATGGTTTATTATAAAAATGGATTTTATATCTTAAGCTCTAATCTTAGGGCAAAGCTAAGGATTTTAACTTGAGCGGAGAGATATAATAATATTAAATATTTGATATAATTAAAAGATGAGTCAATAATAGTATATAGAAGCATATAGAACCTTTTGGATAAACATGTATGCCAAATTCAACCAAACTAGTAAGGTAATAGCATAAACTGTGTAAATTTCTTTTGATAAGAAATAGTATATAATTTCAAACATTGTACTTTGTATTGCTTTATAAAGAATTGAATAAAAATTAATGTATTGCGTACAAAATATGTAGCAAACAATTTTTTTCTTAATTAATGTATGTTCTTAGAAATAAATAGTGTCAATTCATTTATTTGATTATTGACAACTTAAATTCAAATTTAAGTTTAACCATGCATATATATATATATATTGTTAGTTCTATAGTTTTCAATAAGAAAATGAAGAAGCACCACAAAAACAAGAACAGCAAATTGGACAACTTGTTTAAGAAGGTGAGTTTAGTTATCCTATGGTAAGAAAAGAGGTTGATGAAAGTAAAATAATTGGTGATCCTAATCAAGGGGTAAGAATTAGAGTTAAAGTTCAAAATGTTTGTGGATATATTGCTTTTATTTCTCAAATTGAACTGAAAAATATTGATGAAACCTTAGATGTTGACTATTAGATACTAGCTATGCAAGAAAATTAAGTTAATTTGAAAGGTGTCAAGTCTGGGAGTTAGTTCCTATGCCAAATGATTATCCAATTGTAGTACTAAATGAGTGTTTAGGAATAAAATGGATGGAAATAGAGCCATAACTAGAAACAAAGCTAGATTAGTTGTCAAAGGATAGAGTCAAAAGGAAGGAATAAATTATGATAAGACTTATGCTCTGGTAGCTAGACTATAAGCCATTAGAATGCTTTTAGCATTTGCATGCTACATGAACTTTACATTATATCAAATGGATGTTAAGAGTAGTATTCTAAATAGACTTATAAATGAAGAAGTATATGTTAAACAACCTCTCAGTTTTAGGAGTCTTATTTTTTTCAAATCATGTTTTTTATTAAAAAAAACTTTGCAAGGTTTAAAGCAAGTTCCTAGAGCTTGGGATGAGATTATTAAAATTCTTAATCAAAAATGATTTCAATAGAGGGAAGGGTGATAAAACTCTTTTTATCAAAAACAAAGGCAAAGATATTTTAATTATACAAGTTGATATTGATAATATTGTTTTTTTGTGCTACTAATGAACTTCTTTGTCAAGAGTTTGCTAAAACCTTGTAAGGAGAATTTGAAATGAGTATGATGGGTGAGCTAAACTATTTCTTTGGACTTCAAATAAAACAAAAGAAAGATGGAACATTCATAAATCAAGTCAAATATACGTAAGACATGCTCAAGAAGTTTGGTACCTCACTCTAATGAACAACTCAACAATGCTTGACAAGGATGAAAAAGATACGCCCGCTGATTAAAAGCTTTATAAATCCATGATTGGTTCCTTGATTTATCTTACGGCCAGTAAATCGAACATAAGTTTTAGTGTAAGATTGTGTGCTAGGTTTCAATCGTCTCTTAAAGAATCTCATTTAAGTGCTGTCAAAAGAATCTTTAGATTAAAAGACACAGCAAATATAAGAATATGGTATC